CACGAGCGATTCTTGTAGTGGAAACCGCTGTCGCTTGCATCGCACCAAGACACAAAAATTAAAACGCCCACAAACATTAATGGGATGTGGCGGGTAGGTTCAATACAAAAGGCTGCCTTTGGCAAAGTGCTCTAAGATCACGAGCGATTCTTGTAGTGGAAACCGCTGTCGTTCGCACTACAGCAAGCAAACGCTCACGTTGAATTCCACTGTCCATTGGTATACCATCACTGCAATACAAAAGCTGACTCTCAGGTGTACCTTTGATGACAATGGACACGAAGTCGTTTTATGCACACGATGTCGTTGGAGGAAAACGATCTCGTGTGAAGATATAGATGTCCAAATGGACACGTTAGATCCTCTAGGCAGAGGTACGTGCTCGTGCGTGCATAGAAGGAGCGCACGAACGGGACGAGGCGAGGGGCGACCTGCAGGAGTTTGTCAAGGAAGGCAGAACGGGAGACGCAGTCATACGCGCTGCGGCCATCGAGAGAGATGATGACGGCCGAGGGGTCGAGCTCAGAGGCAACTCGCAATGTGGAGGCGAGGCAGTCGGTGCCGGCTCGGGTTTGGAGCGCGAATTGGAAGGGCCTGGTAGCGGCGTCGAAAACCGCGGCATGGAGGCGTGCGAGAGTGCGCGAGACAAGGCGGCGCAGCACATCCCCCGTGGCGATGCCGCGGACCCCGCCGTTTGGTTTCGCGAGCGCAGTGAGGCGAGCCAAAGCGAGGGCAGACAGGACTTCGGGCGGGGCCGCGCCGTTGGCCAACGCAGTGGCGGCCCGGGCAAAGAGCTCGAGTGCGTCCTCATCATCAAGAAGGACTTTGTAGTGTTCGGCGGTGGCGCCAGACAGGCCTGCGGCCGAGCCACGTTTGCTGGTGCGAAGGGCATCAGCGAGGTCATGCGCAGAGAGAGGGAGTGGAACTTGTGGCTGGTAGTCAAGGACGGCCGGGGAAACGGGCGAGCGCGGGGCTTGCGGACGGCGCTCCGGGTCGGACAGCGCAGCTAAGGTGGCAGCGGTGCCTGGCGCCTGCGGGGAAGAAGTCAGGAGTTGGCGCGCGCGGGAGAGTTCACCGCGGCGGA